GTGAAAAAAGTGTCACTTCGCAAATTGTTATCAATGCGCAAACCTTGTCATTTTTTGACGTTTGTAGAAAAATGCAATTTTATTCCGCGACATCCGCCTTTATCTGAAATGAGAATCCCCAATGGGATAATAAAAGATTATGTTGAAATAACGTAATGGAGGACCTCAGAAAAAAATGTTATTTCTATCTATACATTCCCGAGAAGAAAAGAGGAAGTCATGGGACACTTTGTATAGCTTAATAAATTAACATACCTACCAGGTGATTTTTCCAAAACAAAAACGATTGGTAAATATGGAAACATTCTTCGGAACTTTTTTATTTATCGTTTATTTTGCCCTTCTTCAGAACTTGAAAGCCTTTGAAAGAATTTGAACTATGAATCAGTAAATATACTCCACTGAAAAATATTCATATCAATTTCAAGAACGTTACCGGTTTAATCAATAGAAAATATCATTGTCAGTTTCAACATTAATTAGTATCAGTGAATTTATGGAATAATATCTTCTTATGAAAATTTATTTTTCCGAAGAATTTATGTGATTTCAATATTAACCAAGATAAAGATACAGTGCTGCTGCTATTCCTCCATTTGAAAAAATCATTATGTAAAACTAAGATACAGGGGATGTCATGACGAGATCACACTGTATATCATCAATGATCTATTTGAAAGTGAAAAACTATACCTATACAGGGTATTTCAATTTGAATTAACCCGGTATTGTCAACTTATTCTGGTGCTCCTCAGTTGAAATAAATATAAAATATTACAGTTGAATGACTGAATATAAGTATAGTAAATAGGAATTGTATGATTTTATAGGTACACATTTTCATCGAGGATGTTTCAAATGGTTATTGATATAAACGTAATGTAACTTAGTAAAAATGAAAGGAGTGAATTGTCAAAATATTCTAATAATTTAATATTACCTAGTATGAACAGTAGGTAATCAACATAGAGATATTGAATTATACAAGGAAAACTATAAGGTTTTTGAATCTACAATCAAAACTTGAAAATTGTCGTGTTCTGGAAATATTTCGAAAACTGAACAAATGATCAATTTCTTTTCTACAGAATATTATTGCTACCTTATGAACGCTATTATAAGGCTTTTCTATCTGGGTATGAACAAGTGAACATGTTGAATATTTTGAGAATTTTCCTCAACAAGCTCGTCAAGGAGGACAATTTCGACTAAACATACTCACTATCCTAATATACCATGTACTAACTACTTATATCCACATTTTTTGAAGACTTTTTACTAAAAACATCTTTAAAACAAAAAAATCACCGTCTTCAGTATTTTTTATTTTTCAAAGCTCACTACATTAAGCTGTTTCACCTATAATTTCAAACAAAATCTATTCATTTATGTGAATTTTGTTCAACAAGGGCTAATAGTATGCACTATGCAGTGTGTCTCAGTATATAAAAGATTTGTATAGAAATAAACAGTCGAATTTTAAAAGGCAATTGGTGGGACTCTGGGACTTATCTCGACTCTCCTCAAAGTGTACTATGATAAACAATGGAAAACCCTATTTATTCCAAAGAATTTAGATGCCTTTAGTCCCTGAGTTCAAATATATGATTTATATATTTTTTTATCGCTTGGAGCGCACGAAAGGGAATCCCTATAATGTTCAAAGAACATCGTGCGTTTCTTTATCATCACAATCTGAGGATATTTAGAATAACTCCCACCAACTGACTTTTGAAATTTTCAAATATCTTTACAAAAAAGGAAGTAACAGGAGGGAATTTATGGTTGATCACGCTGTACCCAACTTATTAATTCCTAACAAAGCTATGTTTTGCTGGTATACCTACTTTCTGACAGCACTTTGTTACAACATCACCTTTGTTTAGAACCATAGATCTCAATACACCCTTGATCTGTGGTAGAATTTTTGAAATGTGTTGCTTAATGGCATAGAAATAGCTTTACATGAGTTCAAATGATGTTGGATATTAATTGGGATATTAAAACCTTTGAATTAAGTTCAAATATTCAAAATATTGGCTTTTAAATATTTTAAATTCAGATTTGGAAATTTGAAATTTGTATATTGATTGAATTTAAAATATTTGTTTTCTATGTGAATAGAATTTTGCTTAACAGTATTACTTATATGATTTTCTATAGATTATATTGTATGATATTCTTTGAAACAAGATTGTGCATATGTTTGTTTATAATCAATAAATAATGATACCAAGTTTATCTCTTTATTGATCATATTATTACCCCATGAAAACAAGTGGTGTCTCACTCTGAAAATCTGGTGTACACTTTCCAATCCGCTTCGAATCTTGAAAATCTCACCAATCCAAGCTTCAATCTTGGAAATCCACAAATATCTCTTCGAATCCCTCAATGTCGTTTCAAATCTGACAATCCGTGAAAATATTGTGTCAATCTTTGGAGATCACAGCACAATTCTTGAGATTCCATAAATCTCTTATCGAATCTCTCAATCTTTCTTCCAATACTACCAATCCCGAAAATATCGTGACATTCTCTCAATCCCAAGCAAGAATCTCTCGATTCCACGAGCAAATCTCTCAATCCAACATCCTCCAGGTTATTCCTCGTCGCGAAATATAAGAAAGGGTGGGGTAAGGGTCCGTTCTCGAGCCCGCTGCTGATCGCTGATCTCATTTCCATAGTAAACAAAACAAAAACAACTTGTTCTCAAAAAACATGACGTCATAACTGATGCAGTACCTATACTTACCTATTCGCCGCAAAGACACTTTGGTAATACCTTCAACAGATTCTCGAACAAAATATTCCAATGGCAATAATTGTGAATTACTGTGTGATTGCTTATCTACTGGACTATACAGGGTGGTCCATTTGGAGTAACAAAGTGATGACCATTGGAAACAGTCAACTAACTGTAAGATAACTCAATTATGATTTCATTATTGCTGCGATAGTCAGAAAGTATTGCAACATGGTTGTGTAGACAAGATAACGAAATAGTATATTGTTAAACGAGCACGGACTGAGTCATTTCGCACGAGAATGAAGTTTGCAGCATGAGCAGGCGAAATCATATAAGTTGTTAATTAGCATTCCGTGCGAGTTATACACGATACTTTGTCTACGACTGTAACAGATAACAGTGAGTAACAGTAATGCCTCGAGTAATGCTCTATTTATCTCTTGAGGCGCTCGAAAGGGAATCCCTATAATGTTCCTAAAACATCGTGCGTACCTAGGGATGTAGATATTAGTTTTTTTTGAACTTTTGAAGATTATATAAGTTCTTGGGAATATTTCCTTTCACAAAGAATCCCAAAGCTTTGCCGTTCTATAAAACAGAGAGCTGTCATTGCTTTAAATTTTACATTTCATGAGAGATATCATTTTTTTTTTTGTTTTAAATTGATCGATAGATATTAAACCATTTTAGCATACATATTAATAAATACATCTAGCATTTTGTTCCTAATCAGCAACATGCTGGTAATGGAACATTATAATTGACATATGATTCAATAACAATTTCTGTAGTTACCATAATATACATTAGTATACATTAATATACTTATACACAAACAACAACAATTACAATCTTAAGTATATCATAGTACAGTAGTTTGTTGATTTATGTGCTAAAACAAGTTTATTTTAAATGAAGATTTGGCAAAGAGTTGAAAGTTTCTAGACATTTGTATATAGGATTATTTAGTGCCAAGTTTGTTCTTATATTTGATAGGTAAAAATTATTTTGATTTCTAGTCTCATATGTGTGAGTTTCGTCAACTAAGTTGAATTTAGTATTACATTTTTGTTGATTTTTTTGTATCTTGTAAGTGTATTTGCATTGTTCTATTTGTAATATTTGTTCCAAGGGCATTATTCCTGTTTCTTTATATATTTTCTCTGTATGTGTTCTGTAGCTATATCCAAATAAAAATTTCACTACCTTATTTTGAAGTCTGTATTTTCTTAAATTGTGTTGGTCCACATATACCCCAGGTTGTTATGAGATAGCGAAAAACTGACAGAAAGTATTATGGTGAAATAATAACATGCACAATGAAGTCATTGTGTAGGTCTTTTATTTCAATGGACCTATAAAGCTTTTTGCAATTGCTTATTTGAATGAAAATGTCACCAGATTGAATTTTTTGAAATATAACCTCGACCAGTTGGAGTCAGTGGCAGTGACATTAAAATTAAATGATGAATTTGCTTTTATTTTGTAAGAGAGGTATACTTTCTGAAGGTTATTGGCATTTCTCTTTTCTGAATCTTTTGTTTCTCATAACAGAGTATTTTATTCTTGAAAGAACATAATGATTGTCAACCATTATGACCAGAAAAATTCTTTCAGATCTTGAAAATTCTAGCAATGTTGAAAAAATCCGTTCAATTTTGATGAACCTTGTAAAACTTCAAACAGTCTCATGTATACTGAAAATAACCAGAAATCTCTCAATCCTTTAATAATCTTGTAAATCCTTGAGGAATCCTTAGGAATCTGACGAGGAATCTGAGAAATCTTGAAAATCTTGAAGATTTTTGGGAAATCCCAGGAAAATCTTGATGAATATTCAGGAATCTCTCAATCTTAGATAAATCCAACATGTCCTAAGAAAATCCCTAGAAATCTGGAGAAATCTTGCCAATCTTAAGGGATTGCTACAAATCTAATCAATATTGCTTCGAATCTCACAATATCCAATATGTAGTACACATTTTGATAAAGTGAGACACCCCTAGCATGAAAAATTCAATTCATTCAAATATGTGTCCAGCAACCATCTTTTCAACACAACACAATGGGCCACAAGGCTCAAGGGTCTGAAAACCAAGAAACTCAAATAAAAGTAGAAGGGTCTCAAAAAAGGGAAATAGAGAATGTTTATCTTTAGAAATCATTTTCATTTGGTATCTCAGTCTCAGTCCCCTTAAGTAAATAGTTATCGGATTTGATATTTGCTATCAACAACCAAATTCAGTAGGTGGATTCACTTTAATGGATTTAATTGTGGAGGTAGTTATGAATCTTGCTATAAATACCTATTGCAAAAATATAATTCATTAACAAGCTTCAGACATTTCAATTACCCCACTCCTCAAAATTATCATCATAAAAATGCTCTGGTTTGAACTTCACCATAGAAGGGGGCAGGTCTATCCTATTTTCTAAATTTTCAGGGTAAGTCCATGTTGTATGCACCCTGTTACTATCTTCTTTGTTGCTGGTCTCATTGTATTTCTGTATCCAGGAACCAACAGAAGGCACCTCAGGCATTTCATCCAACTTTTTTCTTTTCAGTTGTTGTGCATATTCAACTGAAAAAAACTATCCAGAGTGACCACTATGAATTGACAAATACTCAGAGGTTTATCACAGTTTTTCAAGGAAAGCCTTGGACTGTTTGCCACAAATTACCATACCTTGTTGTCTTATTTCACAAAGTTGTTCTGGGGCATAATGAGTATATCTACAAATCCCCTCAAAAGGGCAGCCTCCTTCATAATGGAAGAATCTTCTACATGGTATTTTCAACAGCTCCTCTTTCAACACAGTCTCTGGCTCTAGTAGTAAATTTTATTAGAATAGGAACGTTGAGAGATAAAAAAACATCATCAGACCAACCTCTACAAGATTCATAGTGCATATGCCTCAATTTTATGTGATGGGAGCTTTGTAAATGCTTTCTTCTTGCTTCTAATTCATCAATGAAACTTTTGTCACAATAATCACAGTAGTACCTACGACCCATATCAATAATAATTGAAAAAAATTATGACATAATATTATATTTTATTATCAATATTATTCAGGAAAATTACAAATTTGATGAAATGAAATGTCAATATCATGAAATGACATAAACATGACCATGATCATGAACGCACGAAGCTCCTGTCAATGTCAATAATCTCAGAATATGCCTCGAAGTAAGTCGAACGGTAAGTTAATTTATATTTTTATATTATTCAATTTTGAAAATTACATATTCTCAGAATTCTCAGACCCACGTGATATATCGAATGTGAATTATATAGTCTCCTTATGATAAATCTTTTTGTATATTGTAGAAAAAGTGTAATGTAGATATTCTTCATAGACGGTACTGGCTACTGAGCCACTTGCAACAAAGGTTAGGCAACTCAAAATACAGATAAAGATGGCGAATCTAATGTCCCCCTTCCTAGTCCCTCTCCATGGTCATGGCATTGGTATGAAGAATTGAAATGCTGGCTGCTGACGGGACGTTATTTATTTATGAAAAGACGAGGGAGCCAAGCCAAAAGCCGGAGTCTTTCTGTTTACATTTCAGATTTTAGTCGGAGCGGTTTGTTATGTTTGTATGGTGCGTGAGTGAATGTTTGGAAGTTACGAAATTTCGACGAAAATATAGAGGTTTTTGATATCAGAGTGGGAGTTATGATAATGATGAACTAAACGAGTTGCATTCAAGTTCTCCTCAAAAAGCGAAATACATTCGGTAAGTAGGTAGATGGTGAAATAGTTAAATTTTTATCATTATAATAATTATACCACGATTATACCATATACCTCTATATCTACTCTGGTACATAAAACAACAGAGTTTTGATTGTGCTTTCGATTCTAAAGAGCACGAACATTCCTTTCTCGTCCGAATAAAAACTTTGGATAGGTACTTACAGCCCTTTACAGGGTGGTCCAAAGTAATTGGAAGAAACTCTCAAGTGTCAAGTGGCAGAACTATGGGGGTCGACAACCCTTTCTTCCTCAGACTTCGACGCCTCTGTATATTTTATTAAGAAGATTCAATTTGATCTATCTGGACCATCCTGTAGAGATACTCGTATTATATTTTTGAAATTATAGCTTTCCACTCGGCTTTCCACGAAGATTCTTAAAATAGAATATATACCTAATATTTTATATCTATTATCTATACTCTACTTATATAGGGTTTTGGTTTCGCATTTGAGACAAAATATTGTTGACGTAATTTTCACCAAAATAGGTAGGTATAGGTATTTTCCGAGGTATTTTCACAATTTGTTCCCCTTTATTTGGTCAGCTCCTGTTGTCCACCCTGTACCTATGAATAATTCAAGGGGGGTTACGTTGAAAACTTTATAGAAAATAAATTGAATTTTAATTAATTGAAACATGTTGATGGTGGTTTCAGCTCGTTCCAGCTACCCCTGAAGGGATATTCTCGATATTGAGGTTTGCACAATGAAGGTTAATAATTTTTAGAAAAAATATTTCATTCACTTTATATAGTTTCGACATCATTCGCCGTGTACCTATATCATCATATGAATATAATTGAAAACTTGGGTATTTTTGATGACTTGTATACTTTATAGCGAGCTTTATAGGTAATGTTGGTGTTGATAAATAATTGTTATTGTTTTCACGTTATTATTATTGACTTTTCCCGAGCTATACCTATACTTCGAGTTTTTGAAATATCCTTGAGAATATCCACGCAGAGAGAATATTGATTATCAATAATTATTATTGCCATCACAAAATACGTAATGTCGATACTCGATAATCTCAAACAATTACGAAAAGTTTTATAACGGGGAAAGCACGAGTGCGGTAAAGAGGTAGTTTACCGCACTAGTGCTAAAAGTGAGTTATTTCATAGCGCTAGTGGGGTGAACTGGAATAATTTTCGTATGGATGCCTTTTAGTTTTTTGAATAAAGATCGTCCATTTTGATAGAATTAAGTACTTATAATATTGGGTTTTGAAATCAAATTAAAACACAAAATACTTTTCTACTCATACCGAGACTTATATACCTATCTCTTTCAATTCCAGTACTTCCAGTTATTGGTAGTACAGGTGATAGGTAGTGTAGTAACGAGGGTAGTAAAGAATATCCGAGAGAATAATATCTTCAGCCGAGGGGTATAACGAGGGGTATAAGGACGTATAAGGTCGTTACCTCGGTCGTTACCATCGGTGGTACTTATAGGTAACTCGCTTGCGTACTAACAAGATGTACCTATATAAAAAATTGTTCACCACTAGCAATATATTTCAATCCGAGTTTGAATCATTACAGCCTCGATTATAGCTTTGTGAAACTGAAATATCGTGAAATATGTACCTATTTTCACTATATGGAAGCACTTCTGATTAAAATCTAGTATAGCCATGACCATGACAGCATATTATGACAAGTCGTTATTGATAGATTCTTACTATATTCGGGCTATGTCTTCATTGACTAGTAGTTCATAAAATGACGAAAACTACCTCACGCCTTACACACTTTACGCCTCGAAAAGAGGTAAATAATGGTAGGTTCTATTTCTATACCTATTAGCTAGAGCTAGTGGTGAAAAATAGTTATTTATACACCAAGGTTGTAAAGAATATCGTTATTACATTGGGGCCAAGATTATAGCCCGAGGCTTCAGCCGTTATAGTTCTGTGAAACTGAAATATGGACCCAAGAATGGACCTATGTCACTATAAAAGCACTTCATTTCAATTCTAATTAAAATCTAGTAGCCATGACCATCACAGCATAAGACAAAGTGGTTATTGATGAATACTTACTATGGATTCGAGTGTTATTTCTGCGAATCTCGCGATTATAACAGAGCTGGCTATGTCTTTATTGACAAGTGGTACATAAAATGAAGAAAACTACCTTGGTAATAAAAACAAGGTTTAGGCCGACCTTTCCGCCTTGAAAAGGAGTAGATAATGGTAGATTCTATAGCTAGTGATGGAAAAAATACTCATATATTACGATATTCGACAAGTTTCTCATCTCGTACATAATATGGCTCATAATATGGTAATTTGAATCCGATGGGCGAACCGCGGTCAAACCGAGGGTCAAACTGTGTACATCAAGGACAGCAGGCTTCAATTTCACAAGGAATTCCAAGAAATTCTAGTTGTTTGTAGACCAGAATTATAACGTGAGGAATTGTAGGGAATCCCATGGAATTCTAAGGAACTCCAGGAAATTCCAATGTACACCAGAATTCCATCGCGGTTTACCCCTCGTATGAATCTGTGAATTGTAAAAATCATGGCGAGTATCTAGGTTTATTATTGCACTAAATTATATGGTGATAAAAATTATTGTGTGAAGAATTTTTTTCGTTGGTTAGGGTATGACAATACCATAAACGAGCGTCATCGATACAGTCTGGTAATATTACTCTCGTACGAGCTCTCGTATTACTTACTTGATTTGTAGATCTTTGTTTTTTTTAATTTCATTTGCCAGAGATGATTCTGCACGATTCGATGTTGCGTTCCAATTAACAATGCTGCTCCTAAGGTGGCGTTTGGTGTTAGTAATAAAGCCTACAGAAAATACACATGGGCTGAAGGACCTCTCGTAAGGTCGATGGCCACTTGGTATGTATGTGTGTATCGAGGTGTGTATGTACAACGCAGTACATAAATATACTACTATTATTAGTTTCACTCGTTCAATTTCTTTGCTTCCTTCTTCTATTGTAAAAAATGGGGAAATTACGAGCGAAATTATAATTATATCGAACATACTGATGCATTTTTCACGTTGTAGGTATTTGAAAGTATATCCGCTGTGGTCCCACTTTATATCTGATTTAAAACAATAAAATTGCTTGTGCATATCGAGATGATTCCGCACGATTCGCTGTTACGTTCCAATTAACAGTGCTGCTCCTAAGGTGGCCGTTGAAGGTAGTAACAAAGCATACACAGAATACACATGGGCTGAAGGACCTCTCGTAATGTCGATGGCCAGTTGGTTTGTATGTGTGTATAAACACACATACATATCAACGCAGTACATAAATATACTACTACTATTAGTTTCACTCGTTCAATTTCTTTGCTTCCTTCTTCTATTCTAAAAAATGGGGAAATTACGAGCGAAATTATATATTTGAAAGTATATCCGCTGTGGTCCCACTTTATATATTATTTAAAACAATAAAATTGCTTGTGCATATCGAGATGCATATCCAGGAAATTCTTGATAAAGCGGAAGTCAAACAGGGGGGATTACCGAGGCAATTACCTATTATTCGAAGTCTTCGAAGTACTTAATAATTAGAAATACGCACCTTGAAACGCACACATGAAAATGAGACAATAATTCATGATAGATACCAAGCACATAACTATTATTTTCTGTGGACTAGTTTCATCGCCACTGTTGTACAGTTTATATACTAGCGATTTGCTGAGACCAGTGATGTGCAAGATGTCGCTTCTTGCTGATGATACGGCAGTTCTTGTATATTCGACAAATTTCGAGCAAGCAGCTATGAACCTCCAAAATATCCAGGAAATTCTTGATAAAGCGGAACTCAAACACAACCTCACTTTTCTGTAAAACATTGAAACACAGCCTCACTTTTTTTATTTGTTTACAGAGGAATCAAAGGATTGAAATTGTTTTTCACAATTTTTGGCATACGAATCGTGTTTTTTGCTCCAGTCATTAATTCAAGCATGCCTTCTCATTCTGCTGTTGTATAATACACAAAGATTGCAGCGAGAGACGAAGGAATATGATTTTTCAGGAAAATAGTAATTTCACATAGTTTTCATTATAAATTTTTGTCATTTCTCATTAAAATACATTCTGCCACTTCTGCAATAGAAGCTAATACTGCTAATTCGCGGGAATCAATGTTACCAGGTGGCGATCGGTTTTCATCGTTCCATGTCAAAGCCACGTCAAAACTGGGGGAAAAAAAAACTCAATCCTCACTCAATTGACTCAATCCCATTAGTGCCATTAGCTTGTGTACTGTGTACTGATAAGAGTGATAAGTTTTTAAATTTCTTGACATTAATTGTCAATATTCGATCGAAACCGCTAATAATGCCTG